ATTTAACATGACTTTCGTGAGTAATATATATACTGTAAACCAACTTATTTTCGCGAATACTTTATTTCGCGTTTACCACTTCCTAGCCCAATTCGCGGCGATTTAATTTCGCGATTTTCAAATTTACTTGATGTATTTTAATCAGGGAAGATCCAAGTTTTTCATATTCGCTACGATTTATATTCGCGTTATTTTTCTACTCGCGAAAGTCGCGAAAATCAATCGTTCGCGAAAATTAGTTGGTTTACAGTAAGTAGATAAAATATTAGATGGCTTTACTATAAACAAAAATGTAATGAGATAATAGGAAAAGACTAATTTATAAAAGTAATTGTGCTTTTTATCGCTGTATTTGATCTTAAGATCTTATAGAATAACACATACATTATTTTTTTTCAAAGGATCAAGTCATTCCGCACCAAACTTCTTTAACATACACCGGCATTGACACAATGTTTTACATTGATGAAAATGAAATTCGAAAGTAACAATTATATGTTATAGAGAAAACCTAAAAATGACAAATATTGTGATTGTATTGAGAAATCAAATATAAAAATTGAAATACATGTATACAAAAAACTCTTCACGTAATACCAAGAGGATTTATAATAAATTCACATGGAAATATGTTGCAAATCCGAAATATTCATATACAAAAAATTATACATACCAGCACACAAAAAGTTATCAGATTGTATCAAGCGTTTGACATAGGTTCATGTCATATTTGTTTTTGATAGCAATATCAAGATTATTTCAATCATGATCATACGGGTTATGTCTCATTAACTTATGATGTCTGAAAAAGTAAACAAAGGTGCTCGTCATAGGTTTTTTTTCTTCATTTCAACAAGTCATTGTTTGTTCATTTCAACAAGTCATTGTTTGTTCATTTCAACAAGTTATTATGTGTTCATTTCAACAAGTCATTTTTTGAGCAAAGAAATAGTCTTGTTTCTGCTATACGATATTCTTTCTTTTGTAACAGATGAAATAAATCATGGGTTTTCAGGCGCCAAACCCTTCCATTAACCTGGGACAGTGGTTTAACAGTACAATATAAGAACAAACTATACAAATCATTTGTACAGGGCTTAACTCATCGGAACGATACAAAGTACCAAAACAAATCCCTACCAAAAACAGAACAGACACAAAGTACGGAATTTAGTGTACTCGCAGTTACTGAAAGCTAGTTCAAAGGCAATAACAACCAATAAAAAAAAATCATGTATCTAGGACTAAAATGTCAATAAGAGCACATTCAACATCCAATATATTTAGTGGAAAGACGCCACTAACAGCATCTAAAAGTGATAAATGCATTATTTTTTTTCAATTTTCAGTTATAGTTCAACGAGCCAAGATTGTATGCCAACTTTTAGCAAAATCTGTGACATAGCCCATTTACTGTTCCTTGACCTTTAAACAAGATATTTGTGTCTGCGTTGGCTATTCTTTTTTTATGAAGTTAGATTTAGTTGATGATGTTGCATTTTATACTTTAGATGTGCAATAAGGACCGTACCCTTTTGAAGCTTTCTAACACACTCAGAAATTGTTAATAGTTAAAAGAGTAAGGGTTGATATTATTGTCTTTTTTATATTGACCGAACGCGACTTTGGCGTGTCACATCATAATTATGGTATCTATCTTTGATGAGCTTTTACATTCACTGCGTCCATGCCACTGTTAATGAACGATTCTTTCCCTATGGTAAAACCAGCCCGGTAGTCCGCAACTGTTTTGTTGAGAACAAAAATATCAACTGAAATTAACTGTTTATAAAATATTAAATTACTCGAAATACTAAGGTTTGTTTCTACTTATAGACATAGATTGCTTTAGTCACAATTTTTTGGAATTTTCGGTTTTCACTGATCCTCAACTTCGTTTTTGATTTGGCCTTCTTACTGCTTTGATCCGAGTGCCACTGATGAGTCTTGTATAGACGAAATGCGCGTCGGGCATAGCAAATTGTAAATTTTTTATATTTGGAAAGCAATACAAACTCCATTTACATCCAGAGAAGACTCATGACGGGTGTTACATGTGGAACAGGACCTTCTGGAGCACACGAGAGACCCCCTAGATTTGTTTTAGATTTGGGTATTGCGTTTTTCAATGTCTGTGTTATTTCTTCTGAAAAAAGTGTTTCTGTTAGAAAATTCCACTTTGGTCAAGGTCGGCTATGAGCGTTGCTGGTGACAGTTAAATAAAAAACGCGCTTCGAACGCGCAAAATTTCTAAAGTATTAATTTGTAGGGGGGAGGGAGACGAGTCAGTTTGCACGACCGATGGTTTGATCCTAGAGTATATAAGAGTCAGTCTTCAGTTTTCTATCTAGTGTTTTGTGTAACTGTTTCTTTGACTTATAAGTTTTCTTTGTACCTTGGTATCTTTATGGCTGTTGACTGGTCAACAATAATGAATGCAAGTTCGTTTGTGATTGGGTCAGTCTGTGATATTAAAGCAAACACAACATAAAAAAAGAGATTGTTTGGCTGTCAAGCTTTAGTACGGACAGATTAAAAGTGCGTAATATACCTGAGGTTCATATTTACTAATTATATTTTATTTGGTTACTATCGGGTTTCCGGTGACGGTTCTGAGATGAACCGATGGGAAGGTTGACGATGACGGTGCTTGCAGCTTAGTCGGTTCCGATGCAAAGGTTCCCGATGACGCAGACGTTGCTTATTTGCCTGTGATGGTGCCAAGTATTTGTTGCCACTGACGGTGTTAAAAAATAACACGTTTGTTTTGATATAATATGTCAGGATGGTCAGTGTTTGAGTTGTTAAGTTGAGAATGAGGAACACGTGTGTAAAGTGTAGAGAAATTTAACGATTTCTGTTATTGCGCGAAGAGAGGAAGTTTGATTTTATTTCTTCTAAAAGACCAATGGAACTTTTTAGTACACACATTAAGCTTACACCTGCCAAAGAGTATGCAGGGTTACAGTTACTTTGATGCCCAGTTTTTATGGTTGATAAAATAGATGTTTGAACTTTAGAAAGAATATTCGTGGAGCACTTGACAAATCTACTTCAAATCTTTATTGTTATGAGATAACAGGAAATACTGTTCCTATTGCATGAACATTTATTAGATGCTTACGTGAGACAATCTTCCTTAAAAGCTTATAGACTCTAATATGTCTTACGACTTGATTTGGAAGAAAGTGGTCTCCTTTTCGGGAATTTTTGTTTTTGGTGTAGCACAAATATTGGGAATAAACTCAAAATAGGAATATATCTATAAATTTACTTCTGCTCATTCAAACATGAACAATAAAAAAAGACCAATAAAAACATGCCGTTTTTGCCTTTCAGTTAGATTGTTTATAACATTTAATACAGATTGTTTTGTTTAAGACTTACCAGAACTTACCAGTTAATCTTTGATATCAATTATTAACATTCCATATGAAGATAAGTTTGCTATAGTAGTATTTCCTGCTGTTGTACTAGTATCTGTGTGTTTAATCGAAAAACAAAGGATACGGGGTATCCATCGATGACACAAAATCAGTACATGCACAGCAAAAAACACGCAAAAAGTTGTCTATTGTAACAAATGTGTTTCCGAAACAGATTCGTTATAAATTTCTTCTATCTTACTTTTGTGATTCACTAATAGACAATAAAAGGGTATGATTTGAGTAACTCAGCCACAATTTCAAGCGCCTGTCTCCGGTCCGCTTGTAAATGGTTGTCATATCTTAATGTATTTTGGTGTTGATGGCAGATCGTTGAAATAAAATTGAGAATGGAAACGGGGAATGCGTCAAAGAGACAACAACCCGACCATATAGCAGAAAACAGCCCAAGGTCACCAAGCCAATCTTAAATCATTTTCTAGACCCGGTTTGATTTACAGCTTTGGATTTTGTAAAGTCAGTTGTTGATTAGAACTCTATATGCATAGGTTATTTTGTGTTGTTGAGTTGTCGTCTCATTGACATCTCGTTTAATTCCTACTAAAATATTTATCGAACAAATTTGTAATTTGTATCGCTATTTTGGCCAAAACAATAAAGATATAATGAATACACATTTTTGTTCACTAATGCATTGCAAAAATGGAACTTTTAACATGCAAACGTGGATCAACAACAAAAAATCATTAATTACCGACTTTACATGTTATGTTAGATATATATTGGTGATATATGTAAGAAAAGATAGAAGGGAAATGTACATTTTCTTTCATGCAAGACGTGCTTGAAAACATAAATAATTGACGAGAATGATGTTCCTTTGATACGGTTAAAACGCAAATTGTCCTTTCCTACCACCCCTCCTTTTTCATTTCATGTCGTGTAGCACCAATTATTAATCTTCTAGATAAAGTTACAATATTTTTTGTTGTTGTTAATAAAAACCTACCTCATGTACAAATATTTTGGTAAAAGAAACGTATTTACTATCAGTGTGAAGGTTATCAAAAAGCCTGTGATATCTATTTCCATGATGGATTTAAAGATAACCTGTATCATATTCTCTCTTGAAATATATCTTTATAGTCCCCGAGGATATCACCAGCCCAGTATCCAGTACTTCTGTACTAGCATGAAAATACGGATTTTGTGTTATTGAAATTTGCTGTTACAAAATTTTGGAAATTATTTAAATTAAGGAATATATCTCCCTCATGCAAAGCTCTGATTCCTTGACCGGCTATGGCTATACTTTTTTGTCCTTTTTTGTTTATAGCGCTTCATCTTTTTAATAAGCTTTGGATTTTCAAATATTTGGCCTCGAGCATCACAGAAAAGACATTGATTGTCGAAATGCACATCTGGTGCAGACAAATTTGTACCGTTTATGTTATTACATATTTTGAACTATTTCAAAGATGTACTAAGTTATGAAAATTTGTATATGTAAATAGAACAGGGACAGTTGTAATTTATACAGAAAACAATGACGGTATATTACACAGACTCCTTTTGCTAGTCACTTAAAAATTTCAAATTAGGTAAGAGTTTAATCAAAGTACTGAAGTACTGAACATCGGATGACCACAAGTTCTTGAGGATGGTCAAAAGCACTTGTCTCAGAAAAAAACAACATATCTCTTTACCTGAAACTGAGGTTAATGTACAGAGATATATTTTTTTCTGAGACAAGTTCGTGCGTGGATGATGAATGAATGACAGGAAATTCAACTTCACCGTAATAATTATTATATTGTAGTGATTTGTTGTTATATATTATATTAAAACAGTTACATATATATATGATTTGCATCCATTTGTATATCATTCTATTCTACTATTCTAATAATAGTGCAATGCAAGTGCATGGTGGACACTTTTCTGTAAAAATTCGATTTTTCTAAGATTGGATACGAGTAGGCATTCATATTTTCCAGCAAAAACAATTACAGAGTTACCGGTCCTTGCCGGTATTGTCGCAAAACGTTCTTTGAGATATTCTTCCGCATGCTTTAACACAATTTTCGGTACGTGTGCATTGATATTATCAATGATTTTTTACTTATATATATATATCTAACTACAAAACATTTTCATATTATTAATTTATGTTGTAAACAAAAATATTTTTATCAGTATTCATTGAAGAGATGTATTTATATCAATCGATAAGGAATGTTATTTTGCACTCGTTTATGTGCGCATATTTATCATGTTTATAGATCGGTTACAAACCCAAAACTAATTTACATAATGGAAATCTAGGCGATAGCAATACATCGGAATGACCTCAAGGTCTTCGCGATGTAATAACAAAAATTAAATGATAAAAGTATCTGGTTCAGGATGGAAATTTAAAAATGTTCAATGACCAGATAGTATCTAGTTAATTGTACTATCAAAGCAATCAATATATGCAACATCAAAATTCAATCTATTTTCATTTCTTTTAAAAGTAACATATAATTAATCATTAAAATATAAAACGGCAGAATTAATTAGTATTTTGTTGGTGTTGGTCCTGCTACTGGATACGGAGCTTGGCCTGGATTAGCTTGTGGTGAAGTTACTGGATATGGAGGCGGTTGTTGTGGATACTGTGGCTGATTGTAGTAGCCCTGTTGTGGAGCAGGATAACCAGTATTTGATGGAGGGTTATACGGAGGAGGAGATGCCGGACCAGTTGGATATCCAGGATTGGCGAATCCTGAAATATATGCCACATTTTTAATTGTGCTATTAAAAGCCATAATGATTAAATAACATAACATATTTGAATAATCATATTTATATTATTAATCAATAGCATGTTTATTTTTATTTGCTAAACATATAAAAATAAAAAGGCGTTTGACGAATTCTGTCTACCAAAATATGTAAGCAATAAATATAGTTCTTATTCGTTTATTATTGATTTATTACTTTTGATTACCCAACTTTTTGCAAATAAAACTGAGAATGGAAACGGGGAATGTGTCAAAGAGACAACGGCCCGACCAAAGAGCAGAAAACTGCCCAAGCGAGAAAATACCGCACCCGGATGCGGGCTTCAGCTTGCCCCTAAACAAAAATATGTACTAGTTGAGCGAAAATGGACGTCACAATTAACTCCGAAACATATAAATGAAATAAATTAAAAAAACATACAAGACTAACAAAGGCCAGAGGTTCCTGACTTTGGACAGGCGCAAAAATGCGGCGGAGTTAAACATGTTTTGTGAGATCTCAACCCTCCCCCTATACCTTTAGCCAATGTAGAATAAACAAACACACAGCAATACGCACAGTAAAAGCCAGTTTAAAAGAAGTCCGAGTCCGATGTTAGAATAGGTAACAGAAGAAACTAAGCAAAATGACAATGTTCAACATAAATTAACATAAAGACTACTAGCAGTTACTAACATGTCAGCTACAGACCTCAATTAAACTGATTGAAAGATTATGTCTTCATCATATATATCTATATGCTTTTTGATAGCATAATTGCATTTTGAAGAAACAAACTTTAAATTGAAAAAGGCCATTTGATGTATCGAAACGTTTGTTACGATTACAACCTATTCGTTGCACACATCTTTATAATTTAATAATGTTTCCTGTGTGTGCAGTATTGTCAATTCAAACTACTTCTTAAATTTAACTGGTTGGTTGTATTCTAAAGTCTTATTTTTACATACTTCTATGTCCACCTGAACTTAACGACTTTTCATTATTTGTTCTCAAATGCGAAAACTCTTCATTAAAAAATAAAATTTACTATGATGCATACGCAGTCAAAGAAAATGAGATGAAATTCAGTATGACAGTCTCTTTCCTCAATGCTCTTCAATTTCGGACTTTATTTGGCCCTTTTAACTATGTTTTTATTCGAACGTCACTAATGAGTCTTTTGTAGACGAAACGCGCGTCTGGCGTACAACATTTCAATCCTAGTATCTACGATGAATTTATTTTCAATGTTATTGGTTGGGTGTTCCAAAAACTTTTCAATTTTAATGTACCTTTAAAAAAGTCTCTTACCTCCCATTTGTTGTGAACCAGACTGTGTTATAACAGTGGTAGCCGGAGTTGGAGCTGAATATGTTGTCCTTACATATGAACGTCTTTTGCAAGCAATTCCAATGACAACACATACAACAACAAAGGCAATGAATCCACCAACAGCGCCGCCAATTTTTCCTCCATAACTGTAATCTGTTGATGGAGAGAAAACCGATGAAATTTTCATTTATTTTTTTTCTAAAGCTTTCAATGGATTAAAAGGTGGTATGTGCTCATCGATTTATTGCAATTGTTGTTGTTGCTCTTGCATATGTATATCGTCTGCAGACAATCCCAACGATAATACATAGAACAACTAGGAAAATAACTCCAGCCATTGAGCCACCGATTATTCCCTGATAATTATAATGTGTTGACAGAAACAAACACATTTACGCAACATTATACTGCTTTATAGCGATGATGTATCCATACTATTTGGTTCTACATTTTTAAAAGATTGTCAGAAACGGGCGCAGGTGCAATAACAATAACCAAATATACTCTAACATTCCAAGTTTGATTTTACAGGCCGGTGTATAATATTTCAAATGCCTGATATTTTCTTATTATAGGATATCCCGTGGATAAGGTATGATGTGCAGATATCACTACACATAAGTAAATGCTATAAACACATAATGACTGTTTACTTAAAAAGGGATCCTGCAGTTAAGTTGATAAGTAGATAACTCTTGTATTGTGACAAGTCGTCCTTGTTTAATACCAAAAAGAAGTTGGTTGTTGATTGTTATCCCCAGACCGTTTTCTATGTTTATTTCGTGATTTTTACGCTTAAGGATGTTCGCTACTCTCCTTCAAAATAACAAGCTTTTTAAAAGACTGTTATATGTTGAAAGTATATAAATAGAGGAACTATAAAAGCAGAAAAAAATTAAGGGTCCGTGTGCTTGTTTTCGAGATATAAGCCACTGAAAATTTGGCGGGAAATGATTCTCTCTAGACTTTTCATACATCTAACATTGGCACCTTTTTTCTTTCAAAAACTATGAAAAAATAACAAGGAGTTTATAGGATTTTCAAATATGGCTTTTTAAACTATAAGTAATAAAATTATGAAAAGAAAAGTAGGGGTTAGCGGGCAAAATTTTTGATGACACTACATGGATAAAACCAGAGGATTCTGAATATCTGGCAAAAATTCAAAAACAAGAGGAGCGAACTTCCTTAAGCCTTTTATGGAAATTCTAAATCTCAGCTTCGAAATTTGTATATTTTACTAAATTTCCAACAATCTCATTTGAGGTTATCACTGCATAGGTTAACTTAATATTTTTAGGCTTTCATTTGATTATGTGACTTAAAAATTCATTTGTACACATTTAGCTATGGTTGCTCGACTATTTACTTTGAGTGTTAATGACCCGAATTTATAGTTACAAAAATGTACCTTTTACTTTGATCTGTCGTACGGCAAATCAATTGATGTATCTGCAAAAATGACGAGACACCCTACACAGTAACGATCAACAGGTCACATCTGAACTGACGTTAAATGACACACGTTTGAGAGTAAACTCTAGACAATTGTCGATTTTGTTGATAAAGAGTAATATATGCGAATCGAAACCAGAACGGGAGTATGCCAGGCTCTTTAGACGCTCAAAACATTTTGCTGCTACATTTGACGTAAAGGCGTTCCTTTGGATGTTTTAAAAACCTGCCACAGCTGTTTGGCTGTGAGTATACACAGGAATGCCCGTTAGAGACAAAACAAACTCAGTTAAAGATCGAAGCATAAAGTGACGAGTATAACTACATTGGTGAAATCCCCACAAAAAATAAACATTTTCGTACCAACATAAAGGCGTAATTAACAAGTCAAATTTGGTAAGTCACATTCGAGGCAGAGAGGACGGGATTGTGGTGACGACAATTGCAACACTTCCGTCGTCATCTCTAAAATAGATATTCCATAACGGTCAATTAATTGCGTACGCAAAATTTTTGAAGGGATGATCTCTTGGTTTAATAGCTTACTTGTAAGTAGCAACCCTCTTTCAATGAAATCTTGATAGGAAATGCAAGCTCGAAGAGTGCATTTTATTACTCACGAACGAAGATATTGACGATAGGAAAATTAAAAAACTGCATTTGCGATTAATCCTACTAGGTTTGAGTATTATATTGATAAGAAAGTCAGAAGCAATAATAAAACCTTTGACGAAAGCCTTATTTCAGACCTAGGTCTTTGACAATGATTTGATCTTATTAATAATAAGTTAAGTATGAAATAAAGGATCATCTATATACTAAGAACCTGTAAAATAAGGACAATTACTTTCAATGGTTATACTCTGTAGGGTAGGAATTTGAAAAAAGCTTCTCTGTAGGGCAGCATTTAAAAAAAGCTTCTCTGTAGGGTAGCATTTAATAAAGCTCTGTAGGGTAGCATTTAAAAAAAGCTTCTCTGTAGGGTAGCAATTAAAAAAAGCTTCTCTGTAGGGTAGCATTTAAAAAAAGCTTCTCTGTAGGGTAGCAATTAAAAAATGCTTCTCTGTAGGGTAGCAGATAAACAAATGAAGCAAAATAGCTATTTTTGTAATTGCCAATATCTTCCATACTTTTTTACTAGGTCTACTGTATTTTAAAAACCCCTTTGAATTCCCACATTGTATATACGACTTGCATGTTAAATACGTAAATAAGCTTCATAATTACAGGTATATGTCTTCACAGCTGTGACATCTAATGTTATCTGTCCTGGGTTTGAACTGGAAAAGAGCGTGGCTAGCTCAACGTCAACGTAATCGTCTTGGTTTGAACACCATTCAAATGTTGGATTACCATAACCTTTTGTATATGTCTGTAATATTTGTTGATGGAAACATGTAGTTACAACACAAGTTATGAGATAAGCAATGATAGTTAATATGTCTTTCTTGCAAATGAAACACTCGTTCAACAGTCAAAAAGAAAATACGCATTTTGGATGTCAACAAATTGTTCAGTCTTGATTTCTGACAAAATTGTAATAATTGGTGAGGACAAAAGAACGAAATTAAAAGATAATTAAAAATCCTTAAAATGTTTTGAAATTATAATATAATTACAAAGAAGTACAGTAAATAAAGTAAAGTTTGCTTACACTCATATTTTCAACGCTATTTTAAGAACATTTCAAAGTTTTCAGAACATAAGTCTGCAACACTATTATGATATTTGCCAACAAAAATGTTATCTTTTATAATAAGGTTATTTACTGAGCAAACAATTATTAGAAAGTCTTTCAAATTCTCTTTTTTTGCTTAAAAAGGTGTAAGTCGTTCTGTTGTCTTGAAATCATTGCCTGTTTTTTTTTTTTTCTATTAATACCAATTATTTTATACAGTTTGGAAAAAAAGTTTCAGTTATTTCCTGTGTTGATTCGAAAAATATTGTCCTGTTCTGTACCTTTGGCTGCAATCTACTCGGAAGCACTGCTGTCGACATTTTATAAGTGGATTTCTATTTCAAACAATTAAGTATATGAAACTCCGAGCTACTTACTAGGTTTGTTTAACTTCTACGCGTGTTATTTTCGTCAGTTATACTGCTTTTTAAATGTCTTTTATTTTTCATTGATTTTTACAGTAGTTTGTTCTACGTAACTTCAGCAATTCAGCTGATTGTGATTTTAAAAAAGTTGCAAGGTGAGTACTGGGCAAATAGAATATTTTAACCAGCCACTTGTTAATGTTTAATCACAAGTCAGGAACCTCGTACCTGGTTTGTGCTTTCTTTCTTGTGTTTTGGCTTTTATTTGCCTAAATAAAATTTGTTATTGACAGCAAATCTTTGGTAGTTTCTAATCAATTCACTTGTCTAAAACTATAGACGATGTAGGTCGACATATAGCTAGTATAGACCCTTTTTCTTTGTCTATCCCTAGATGTCTTTACCAGTTTGATTGTATTTCAGGGTTGTTGTCTAATTGACATTACTCCAAATATTGTGTTTCTATTTATAAACAAAAATGAATAATATTATTGAGAAATATACGACACTTGACAAGACAGTCATCTCAAACCTGTTACAGTTTAGTACTGTTACCTAAATTCTACAAATAATTATCAAAAATTGTATGAATAAAACATAAAAATTACATTTTTTCTGCAAAAAGATAATAACTTGTTTTGATGGGCCTATAGTCCAATACTCTACACAAACTAATGATATGGACACATATATATCTCAATTAAAAAAAGAGACATGATATATATATATATACCTTTTGAATGTATGTGAAAAGAACGCTACTTCCACTGTAATATTTCAGAGTAACACCAGAATCATATACATTCCATATTGTTGCTTTTATACAGATTTTATATTCATCAAGAGAGTTATCCGAAGCATAACCGTGAAATGTTACTCTACATCCGCTAAAGTGTTGATTTCCATTCCATGACATTTCGTATGAATGATCTTCAGTAACATCATAGACCGTCGAACAAGAATCAAAATCCACTGGAATTAGAAATCAACTTATTAATATTTGTTGTCAGCAGAAGAAATATTTTCTCTTTAAATATTTTAAAATGAAATATGATAAAAATATTAAGAAGTTGTGGGTGATTGCTATTGAGACAACTATCTACCAGAGACAAAATACCAAATTCCATTGCTTTCGTTAAGGACGAGGTATTAAAAAGCCAAAACTGGATTCATGAAATTGTAAAAATATTAAATTCCTGCATCCTTTTTGTAATACTGTTTATTCAATAAATTAATGAATAAGGCGATGTAGTATTGACGTCATTGACATGCCGTAATTGCCGTGAATATTTGACAAAAATAGCGTTTATTTTAAAAATTCAGCCTTACGCAAAAAATAAAAATAAACAACATCACATAACATCTTTTGATTAGATATATTGTGGCAAAACAAATTTTGAGGGGAGGTTGATCATAAATATTACCGAGTCGATCTTAATGAACAAATTTCGGCAGCAGTTGTCGTTTGGATACCGACATGTACCGATCATCAGGTTGTCTGCATGTTGATGTTGTAAAATATCAGTTGCGAGTAACAATATGAAGCTTTTTGTCGAGTGAGCGCAGCGAACGAAGTGAAAAAGGCTTCATATTGTGCCGATATAAATATGAAGAAAATCTGATAATCGATTTTTCGGATTGTTTTTGTGCATTTTGCATGAAAGAAATAAGTGTTTTTCTTTATTTCACAAGCAAACCCGAATTACAGCTATTTCACACATTAATATCTCTTAATCAAATGGCTATGTTGATAGATTTATGATACTTGAAGGGCCCAAAAGTGGCCTTATCATTCATTTTCCTTTCACAATAAGACAAAATATCAACTGTAACTTTTAAAATATAATCGTACATCACCATGCCTTTTTTGAAATATTCGTCTAAATATATCAGTAGCAGAAAGAGAGACGGAAGATACCAAAGGGATATTCTAACTCAGAAGTAGAAAAAAAAACTGACAACGTCATGGCAAAAAAATACATGGTTACTACTGATAGACAAACCACTCGCAAATGATACAAAACTATCCTCTATGTACATGTACAATATAAGGTCAATTTCAGAAAAAAAATCAACGTTTTTGTTTAGGCTTAGAAACTGAGGAAGGCCCCTTCAACGTTTCGTGCTGAATACAAAAAAAGTAGATATTTTTCTGACATTCACCTAACATTGTTTTATACTGCAGCTGAGTTTTGCTTCAATTATAGTTATTTTAGGAATGACTGTAATATTTTTTCTGTCTATGAAGAAATAACATCAAAATGTGGTGCACACTGAATAACCCGCGTAGCGGGTTATTTTAAAGTGTGCACCACATTTTTTGTGTTATTTCGAATAGACAGTAAAAATATTACAGTCATTTCTTATAATTTAATTCTTAATTCCATTTTAAACCGGAGTAAATTATGAAAAAACGTTGATGACGTCGCGGTCACATGACAAAATTATGTCTATGAGCTGATAAACAAAACAACGTAAGCCAATCGGAAGACGCGTTACATCCAAAATTAAATTATAAACATATAAACACAGAAATAAAACGTATTTGCCATCCCTGAACGAACCCCGAGTTGTGAAGAAAAGTGAAGTGACATGAAATCAACATTGCACGAAACATCACATTTTTACTATATTTGGTATATAAAAGACAGCGGGGATTTTTCTAGCTGCAGTATAAATTCATTCATCTGATAAATTTAAAGACTAGAAAGGAGTAAGCTACGAAAATATCCATCTGAATGGCATTTTAAGGATATTATTTCATGTAGTTTATTTTGTTTTTCGAACGTATTCGTAGTAATGTCTAAACTTCAAGAGGAACGATGACATTGTCATGACTTCAATATGAAGATGTTCATTTTGGAAAACTTAGACAAAAATCATGCGTGATAACTTACCAAAATCATACCATGCCGTTGCAAAGTCTGCACTATTGAAAACTGTTAGCACGATTAAAACTACTTTCATCGTCAAAGTCGGTTTCTAAAAATGACAGAAAATAGAACATTAGTGTCTTATTATCGTGTAAACTCAATTTAATTCATATGATATGTACAATAATCTAGCAAAAGATACTACGAGCAGAACAACCTACCAAGAAGACACATCCCCTCAAGCAGTAGAAGTAAAAAGGCCACGTTTGTCGGATGTGTTAAGGATGCATTGACTTGTACAACCTGATTTGCTCTCTATATAAAGTTATCGTTCATATTTACAACATTTAAGAAACTAAGTTCCCAATTCCCTCAGGAAAAGCTGAAGTTAGAAAATCTATTTTGAGGTCAATGTTGGTCATATGGTACCTCACGCATCCAAGTGTTTATACATCCATGGGTTTATACATCCATGGGTTTAAAATTTGATAGTTTGAGCGTTCCTGGTGAAGGTTAATCCAGAAAAGCGCTTTAATCGCACCAATTTATAAATTGTTGCTATTTTCAGTTACAAACTTATTGGTAAAAATGCATATCGATTTTGTCATCAGCAAATTAAAACATAACTAAATTTGTATTCTTTTCAAACGGTTTTTGGGATGTATAAATACACATCGACGTTCATTTTCTATATAGAGATTACTTTATCTATATATAACATTATACATATTTATTAAAAGGTTAACTCCTAACTATCCTACTGCCTGTCGATACTTTTATTTTGGCATTTCACAAGTCATGTCTTCTTTGACTGTCCATGACTAGCTTTCAGTTATTGCGAGTACTCTCAAATCGTACTTTCGTGTTAATTTGACCTGTTGATACAATTTGTAATGCATTTTTGTTATTTAACGTTTACTTATTTAGTGTTATATCTCGTCTCACTATTCTTAATATATACCACATTTGATTAGTGTTTGGAATGACGATAAATTTTTCACTTCTGTTCTCGTACTATGAAGTATTTTGTAAAAAATATTTCCGTACTCCATGTATACCTTACAACAAAATTATTTTCATTTACCTGTGTACGTTATTTTATTTGGCGGCATTTTGTCCAAGGTTATGGTTGTCTTTCTGATATTGTTTTACATCTCCCTCTTTTTTTTTTATTAATTTTGTATTTACATTGTGTCATAGATCAATTTTTTTCGTTCAGTGTATGTTTACTTGTTTTTGTTAATATGTCTTTTGATTGAGTTAAGCCATTTCAATTGATATTTTATAGTGTGTCTTTCTATGTTGTGTTGTTACACTATTGTTTAAGGTTAGGGTGAAGGTTGGCGCCTGTTAAAACGTTTAATCCCGCTGCATTTGTTTGCACCTGTCCTAAGTCAGGAACCTGTTGTCTGTGGTTGTCGTTTGTTGATGTGGTTCATAAGTGTTGCTCGTTTCTCGTTTTTTATATAGTTTAGACCGTTGGTTTTCCTGTTTGAATGGTTTTACACTAGTCATTTTTGGGGCCCTTTATAGCTTGCTGTTCGGTGTGAGCCAAGGCTCCGTGTTAAAGGCCGTACTTTGACCTATAATGGTTTACTTTTATAATTTGTGACTTGGATGGAGAGTTGTCTCATTGGCACTCATACCACATCTTCTTATATCTATACACACATTTTGACTTCAATTTACATTTCATTTCTACTAGAACTGTATTCATCGCAATACGACTTTTTCTCAAATATTTGGTCAACTGACACACACATGGCTTGTGGAACTTTTTACCAAACGTTGATATTTAGTCAATGTTCAATACAACTCTGGACGGCAAAAAAGTTATTACACGATTCATTCCCTGTTCAGATTAGTCCCTTTTTGTTTTGATGAACATACATGCTTTGTTTAATAGGCTACTTAATTTTTTGTTGGCGAGTGGACCTGATGAATGTTATTGCAGAAACGAATGTCAGACAAACTGATCTAATTCCGTTTGGGTTACATGAAATTATATACAAGATTGCATGTATACGAATAATCTGCTAAGAGTAAGAAATCGACAATGCGATTTCATTGATACTTAGATATTACGTCTAAAGAGATGATTTCAATTTTCAGATTGTGAACCTTCCTTTTTATAACTATGCAACCCCATTCCAGTAGCGCCTACATGTGATTTATCATAGTTGTTGCAATATTCAAGGGCTGTTTGTGTTTATACTTGGACAGTCTATCATTTGTACAGTGTAGACATTCTTATTAATATGAAAAGCTTAATTCAAGAGGAATCTAACCAAGGGCTTGTTGATGTTGACACTTCGACGGCCTATTTTTCAACTTCCGGCGATCGATAATATAGTTTGAATATGCGTGCCGTGTGCAAAACGAAACACCTCCTCTGATGCAAGGGCTTGCATTTCCTATCATGTTCCCCTGATAGATGATTGCTTCTATCAAGGAAGCTAATAAACCAATGGTTTTGAATGGTAAAGTGGACGTCATCCATTCGAAAGTTTTACCGTTACTTAATATATGTGTCGCAGACGACTAAGTAATTTCCCACTTTAAGTCACAACCCTGTCCTGTTTTCCTCGATTGTAACATAAACGATGCGACTAACTTGCCATGATCCATCACCGGTGGAATTGATTTAATCTTTATATGTCTATTGTATTGTGGACTAATCTTTGTATTTTTTGGAGATTTCTTTTTGCTATGGTGTATTTTTCTTCTGCTATTGTTTTTTGATTTTCTCCTCTGGTATCTTTCCCCCGTTATTGCAAACACTAAACAACTTTAACTGCGCCTAAATTTTAATGATTGTGCTTAAATAAAAAAATACGTCTTTTTTCTAATGTCCAATTGGAACACAAATGGCTATTAGAACCTTTTACCAAACTTTGATATTAAATCACTGCTTAATAGAATTTGTTTGGGCAAATTTATCTTTTGAAGATTTTATTTCCTGTTCTGTTAAGTCCCGCTTTGTTTTGGTTATTACACATGCTTTGTTTTTTTTTGGCGATAGTGTACATGATAATTATTGCAGCTCCTTTGTTCTACCAGGAGTGATCTGAGCCGGATCATCCCTACCAGATC